CTGAGAGAAACTTCCCCAACCAGGTAAAGGAAAATGCCATGTCACTGATGTAGACAAAAAAAGAGAACACCCACTTTTATTTTTACCACGTGACTTCCTGTTTCGGGCGTTGGTAAATGCGTCAGTCACCAATAGCCAGTTGTACTTTGCCAACTCCTGGCCTTTCCTGTCTGACTGGTGGCCGTTGGTCAGTTCTAGTTCAAGGGAAACATGCATAAGTGTGTAAACTTCCTACTTGATTGTGACGTGTTGCTTCAGTGGACTGGAAGAACAAATGTCCCTGCTTAGTTTTCACAATGACATCCAAACTAAAGTTAAATCAAAATATCGCGTTTTCTTGGAAATTTTGTTTAGAAGGCAGGGGGAAACAAACCACCTTTCCATAGAAAAGGCTAACCTAAAACATACCTGAAACTACAGGAAACTTGTATAGAGGCAGTCCCTGGATTATAAATCGGTCCATTACTAAGCCTGACTGTTAGTGGAATTTGTATATAAATCGAACAGTTAGGTATAGTTAATATCAAACATCAGTCAAATGTTTGTCTTAGTATTTAGCATACAGTATACCTGTATCTTCTGTGTTGTTGGTGACGGAGCTCCTCACTGCATATCTATCTGATCTGCCATCTTGATTGGATTGGCCAAGTCGCAGCATAGCAGCCCAATTCGTAACCACTACACTACCAGATAGCTTCCTAGCGTAGTGGTTATGAATCGGGCTGCTAACCTCAAGGTCGGCAGTTCAAAACATGGGAAAAAGAAGAGGCTTTCTGCTCCCGTAAAGATTTGCAGCCTCCAAAACCCTGTGCAGGGTCGCTATGAGTCAGAACCGACTCCACGGTACTTAACAACAACAAATACCTGTGTATGGAGTCCTAATGTGTCAGACTGCAAAGTCATTTGAACTGCAAGGTTGGTGGTTCAAGATCACCAGCTGCTCCTTGGAAACCCTATACAGGGTTGCTATGGGTCAAAATCGACTCGACGGCACTTAACAACAATAATACCTGTCCATGGAGTCCTGGTGTGGTGCCGTGGGTTAATGCGCCAGACTGCAAAGCCATTTGAAATGCAAGGACAGCAGTTCAAGCTCAGCAGCTACTCCTCAGAAACCCTATACAGGGTAGCTATGGGTCAGAAATGACTTGGCAGCACTTAACAGCACCAACATACCTGTTTATATTGGAGTCCTGGTGTGGCACTGTGGCTTAAAGCACCGAATTGCAAGGTCAATGGTTCAAGCTCCCCGGTCCCTCCTGAAAAACCTTATATAGGGTCGCTATGAGTCAGAACCAACTCCATGGCACTTAAGAACAACACCACCTTCCTATGCATAAAAAACATTAAAGGAGAAGCACTTCCAGATGCACTAAAATATCTTTAATGAAACAACAGTGTTTTGTTGTTTTTTGTAAACAATAGTGTTTTGATAACAGCCCCCAAAGTGTGCCCATCTGTCATTCTGAACCACTGGATGTACTTTGAATTTTTAATTAGCTTTGGGAGGGTGGGGTGTTTTGATAGAGAAGTCAGACATTAGTAACCTGGGGGATGCCGGTAGTAAACTTTTAGTAAGCGTATGATAAATGTCTTAGTAATGAGTCTGTAAACAGAAACTTTTTCCCACCTGGAGTCCACTGCTGTTGAGTTGATGCTGACTCATAGTGACCCTAGAGGACAGAGAACTGCCCTGTAGCCTTTACGAGGTGATTCTCTTTACAGAAGCAGATTGCCACATCTTTCTCCCAAGCAATGGCTGGTGGGCTCAAACCACTGACCATTCTGTTGGAAGCTGAGCCCTGTAGCCACTATGGTACTAGGCCTCTTTCCCCATGAAATGGGGTAGCTTCATTTGACATTAGAAAGCCCATTTTAAATGGCAGATAGTTTAGAACTAAGTAAAAAGTTTCATTCCTCAAAGGCTTACTTTAAGGTTAGTAATTGGAATGGAATGCCTCAAAGCTTGTGTTTCCTTTGTGACACATTTTATCTGGGAATAGTCATGTTCATGGTGCACCTCTTCCCCAGGACAGTCCTGGCTTGACAGCTGTTGGCTGGGTCCCCAGGTACAATCAGGGCAAGGGCTGTTGTGTTAAAACCATCTGCCATCTGTTGGTGGAAATTATTTGGATTCTACATGATGACTCACTTATTTCTCCTGCTGTTCCTTCTGCTGCCAGGATTAATTTACCTACTGGACTTAAACAGGGATATATACTAAAATGATTTGTCATGAAAAATGATCCCATGCAAAGTTCATGGTTCCCCAATGAGCACTATTTCTAGCGTCCTCAATGGAGAAGGTGCGGAAGAGTTTGCCTTCTATTTCTACAGGTATGGAGAAGACACAAGAGGTGATAAAGCTCATTCCCACTCCAGAGTCCTTCACAGGAAAACCTTTAGTCACTGACTTCAGTAGGCTTGCAGTTGAGGGATCTAGCGGTGCTTCCACATTTCTGACTAACACGCTGTGACCAGCAGCTTGGTAAGAAGCCAGTGCTTGTCACCAAGTGTAACACAGCGTAAGCCCTCCCCATCACTGTGACCACAAAGTGGAGCAAGGCTGACCTACCCAGGGTCACTACTAAAGTATGTTGGCACCACCTGAGTCCACTAGGACAGAGTGCTAGTAGGCAATGTCACCTTCAAAGTCACCAAGGACTCTGAAATCCTTAGTCTGCTCTGGTCAACCTTAAGATCAGAACATCTGGGATGGTTTTTAGGAGAAATTTCAGAGACTCCATACAAAATAAACTGGGAAGGAAGCGCTATCGGGCTTCTGTAGATGTCATCTGAAGATCTGAAGTACCTGGGACGAAGGGTTGATTCCAACAGTGGAACCAACTACTTTCCCAGTGAGAAAACAGAAGGTGGCATGAACACACCCCTCTGCCCACCAGTGGGGCAGTCCACGTCTGAGGTTAAAACACAAGCTCTGCTTTTCCACTGGCTCAGTTTCACACAAATCAGATTTTATTGTTAGTTTCATCATTTTTTGTCCAGAAAATCAATGCATTAAGATGGTTCCAACTTAGCTTAGTTCACATATCCTAAAATATCATTTCTGTGCTCTGTGCCTTCCATTTCGTTTTTTTTCCCGCCACACCAGCATTTTTTGCTAAATAGTAGCAGCCGCAGACCCCTAGGTGCAGAAAAGTCTAACCCTTTCAAGGTTGTTCCATTTCGCTGAAGTTTTCTGAAGCTTTCCTGCCTGGAGAAACTATCAAGTCTTAGGTGGGTGGTATTTTATTCTTACCACAGAGTGGGTGTCTTTTTTATGGCACTTCCCTCAGCCTCCTAGATCGGAGGCAAAGTTACGTGCTCGAGTCCTGGGTGGGAGGTGACATTCTTGTACTTTTAAGTCCCAGGCTCAAGGCACCTATCTACCACCAGTCCCTTCTGCCAGAGGCAGCAGTAGGAAGGGACAGCCAGTTGTGGGGATCTGTCTGAGATACCACAAGCCCCAGGTGGCCTTTCTAATCAAAGGAGTGGCTGACCAGACCAGGATGGTACTGAGAAATTCTGCAAACCTTCAGAAAGAAACTATTCTAAATTGATGTTTTTCAGAGGAAACAGTGACCTTAATTTCCACTGCTAAGCTGTACCAATGTGTTAGAAGTAACATTTCTAAGCCCATTCCTTATCTGTGTACAAAATGCGTGTGTTGCTGAGGTAGCAACATTTACGCTCCTCGTCGATCCCTGCCTTGTCTGTGTTTCTAGGAGGTGGCTAATACATGCTGATACTCCCAGTTTCGTGAGGGCTGTGCCCTGGGGAACAGCTCCGTGGTCCGCAGGCCTGACTGTTACTGACTCTGAATGGTGATTAGGCCTTAAAGAGGAGGCAGATGAGTTGTGGGAGTCTTGCTGAGCTCACAATGCAAGAGAACTTTGGCAAATTGTCCACAGAAACCATTTCAGAGTTGGGAAAACAAGACTTCATGGTTTTCAAAGGAACTCCAGTATACAGTGGTCACTTCATCCCCATCAGCCAGATGCTGGACACGTGGACTTTTACCCCAGGCACAGTCAAGTCAGGCAACAAGAATGTTCTGAGAACAGGGGCGCCACTAAAGGAGTCTCTGTGTTTGAAGTAGGTGAGACTCAAGACCTGGAGGGTAAAGAAACAGATCACACCACACACAAGTCAAGAGAACCTGTAGTTAGTGGTGCAGAGATTGTGGGCTTGTGCTTTTTCAAAACAAAAGTTTCCACGACCAACAAAAGCCAGTGGGTTTTCTCGGTTTGGAAAGAATTTTGCACACAGAGTAGCTACCAATGTAAACCAGTCTCTAAGAAAACAGAGCTACTGGTTAATCTGTGCTTGTAGAAGCACTTTACCTTCCAGCTTCAGGACTTTTAGACATTCTGATGCATCCGGGGAATTGTATTAGCCGATGACCTATTCTTCTCCCTGATGTCACCTGACACACACACAGCATTCCCCCAGGAACCCTAACCACCTGAGCCCATCAGAGGGAGTTACTTCCAAAGACAGAGTCAGCCACGTGCTTCTGAAAGATATTTGCAAGAAACACAAATGCCAGTTAGACATTTTCTGAACCCTGGTTATTTACCAGACTGGCATCTTCTCTGGCAAGTTTTAATCCTGCATCAAATACAGAAAGGCAAACCATTGGCTTCGAGAGTAGAAATTCATAGTGAAGGCAGGCAGATGTTCCAGAAGGACCATTACTGTAGAAAGACCTAGAACTCTGGAAGCGAGGTCTAGTGACAGCTGGTTCAGGAATGGCCTTGGTAGCCTGCCAGTTCCCCAGTGGCAGAGAGAATCTGACAACTGGGAGGGTCGCTTCCTACCACACTTAATATGTTTGCAGATCTCACCACTTCAAAGGAGATGCTGTGAAGAGGCGAGTCCCAGGGATCACAGCTGTACCAGGTTCACATGGCACTAGGAACCAAACTGCCCAGGAGGCCGTGGTACCTAAGCATGCTCCCTACTCAGACACCCAGGACTCCAGCTAGTGGCTATGGAATTCAGGGCCACCCCTGCTTGTCTTCCTTTGAGATGCTCAGCACAGACTTGTGGGGGATTTGGCACTCTTGTAGAGATTTGGTGAGGTCTGAAAAACTTCTCCTGGGCACCTCCATGGTTTCGATGCTGCAGTGTGGATAGGTGGTCTTGTTCCTCTGTTCTGCCACGGCAACCACAGTTTGTAAGTCATCTGTTGGCCGGAAATGGCGTACAAACCTTTGGCCAGATGGTGATCTAACAGCAAGCAGCAGTCTTGGTTCTTGGTCTGAGGGCTCCTCTAAGTTTCCAGTCTGGGAAGGGCCCTGCCTCATGGTTTGGATGGTGACTTTCTCCACCGGTGGCCAAGCTTGAGCTCTGGAATTATCTTTACTTGCCTTTCGCTGTAGTGAGCTGACCTTTTGAGCTCTTGTGTCCCCAGCCTTCTCCTCCAGGTTCTTTCTGTTGATAGAAGGAAGGACTGGGTATTTATTGAGAGATAAAGAAGCCCCTATGGACACCTGCTGCAGCAGCTCGGGGATCTCATCAGGAGCTCCCTGATTCGGAGATCTGGGTGTGCAGGTCCCTGGCTTCCAGCTGCCTGGTGACTCGCAGGGAACGACCAGAGGTGGAGAAGAAGTTGTGTGGTCGGAGCACACCTCCGGGCCCTGAGATACGTGCAGGCTTGGCCGTGTTCGTCCCTTGGCAGACTTGGGCCTTATGACATGCATGCTTAGTGGCTTTGGCTGCCAGATGAAGGGGTCAGTTGCCGTGCCAACAGCACTGCTGTGTTTAGGCGTTGTGACGTTCACCGGGGCTTCTGTGGCCATTGCTTCTCAAGATTCCTGAGGAAGTAGGAAGAAATAGAGGAGGGAAGGAGTTAAACTTCTGGGGGCTTCTAGATCCAAGCCATTCACTCCCCAACTGGTCAGCATAAGGTACCAATTACTCCCTTTGGTCAAAAGTGCCAGTGAGCCTACTAAGTCACCAGACAGAAACATGGAGTTCAGTTATCCTGGAGTGCTGAAAGGAGACCCTTACACTCGCACTGAGAAAGCTCCCTGGATACAGGACAAGCAGTCTGCAAACCATTCTCTGTAGAAGAGCTGCCTCTCTGATCCCACTTTCATTTTCTCCCTCAATCTACTCGTTACTGTTTCCCATGTACCCATTTGACCCTTCCTTTACAACACTTCAGCCTTGCTATGTGGCTTTGCACAGGTACTTAGTGTCCCTCCTCCACTGCCCTAACTTGCTCATCCTTCTTGAAGACCAAGATTTACCAACACCTCCAAGTTTACAATTTTGTATTTGCTGGTGTGGCACTGTGGGATAATGCGTCAGACTGCAAAGTCATATGAACTGTAAGGTCAGTGGTTCAAGCTCACCAGCTGCTTCTTAGAAACCCTATGCAGGGTCACTATGGGTTGGAATGGACTTCGTGGCACTTAACAACAATTACCTTGTGAATACCCCAAGGGCCTCTGTATTTGGATCCTCCCACAAGGGGTACCTGGGGGACACAAACAGTTAAGCACGTTTAGCTGCTAACTGAAAGGTTGGATGTTCCTGTCCACCCAGAAGCCCCTCAGAAGAAAGTCCTCATGACCTACTTCTGAAAACTCAGCAGTTGAAACCCTATGGAGCATAGATCTATCTACTCTAGTACACAGGACAACTGTTTCTGTCATTAGTAGGGTTGTTACTTGCCATTGAGTCACTTCTGACTCATAACACCCCTGTCTAGTGTTTCCAAAGAGCATCTGGGGAGTTTGAGCCATCAACCTTAAGGTTCAAACTGACCATGCAGTCCAGTGCTTTATCCTACAGCACCACATCAGGGAGTGCTCGACCAATACAATTGTATTGAAGCCTGCTGGGAGACATGTGCATTTCTCTACGGAGGCTGAACCAAAACCAAAGCCACTGTCGTGAGCCCATTACCACTCACAGGGACCCTGTAACAGCTGTAAATCGTTACGTGAGTAGAAAGCCTCATCTTTCTCCCTCAGAGTAGCTGGTGGGTTTGAACAGCTGCCCTTGTGATTAACAATCCAGTGCTTATCCTAACTCAAGACTTGACACATTTGTAAGCTCTTCTTGCATCACCATTTTGGTGGTCCCATCGCCATTACTATTTACAGCATCTGCTTTTCTCAGCACCCAGGGACATCCTTCTCAGAACACTGCAAACGGCTTGCATACTGACCGCCACCAAGACCAGCGGCCTCCTCTGCCTGCAAGGTAACCAGGTCTCTCGAGGCCTTCAGGTAGCTTCCAGACTCATGGTTCCTGGGGGGCAACATGTTTGGGCGTCAAAGGACACAGAAGTGTGTGGCACAAGTCTTGGGTTCTATTGTTGGCTCTGTTGCTAACTAACTACCTGACCATGAGGCAATCACTCCACCTTCCTGGCACCTGTGTTTCCTCATTTATAGAATTAACTGTGTTACCGGGTCGCTATGAGTCGGAACTGACGCAATGGCCCTTAACAACAACAACAACAACAACAGCACGTGACCTTGAAGACATTACTTAGCTACCTCGGAACATACCTGCTAGGACAGGAAGTCCTGGGGCTTAGCATAGAGCACAGGCTTAATTACAAATTACATTTCGAGGTTTGGGTTTTCTCTTTGATTTCAGCACTTCAGATCCAGACACCGCCTACTGTTTCAGCAATTCTCCCAACATGTCCTTGGTGGCTCTATTCCTAGGCAACTCTAACACCTGGCTGAATTGTGCTACACACTGGTCCTGCCCACTACCCAGAAACACCGTGAGGTTGATTTTGATGTTGTTGCTGTTGTTATATGCGGTTCCGATTCATATAAAACCCTGTACAGGGTTTCCGAGGCTGTAAATCTTTACGGAAGCAGAAAGCCTCCTCTTTCTCCCGTGGAACAGCTGGTAGTTTCCAACTGCTGACCTTGTGGTTCACAGCCCGATTCGCGTAACCTCTACGTTTGATGAGCGACTTTGAAATTGCCTTACAAATGCTAAATGAATACCTGAGTTTATTATCACTTTCCTTCTGATTCAACACTTTCCTCTTATAGAAGAAAACCAAACCTGATGCCATCTAGTTGACTCCAAGTCTGATCCTATTTGTTGTTGTTAAGTGCCATAGAGTCAGTTCTCACCCACAGTGACCTTGCATAGGGTTTCTGAGGAGCAGCTGGTGGGGTTGAACCAATGACCTTATGGTTCAAACTGACCTTACGGTCCAGGACATTATCCTACAGCACCACACTAAAACTCCACTGCTCCATAGGGTTTCCAAGAGGAGTCCTGGTGTGGCGCTGCAGGATAAGCACTGGACTGCTAACTGTAAGGTCAGTGCTCCTTGGAAAACCTATACTGAGGTGCTATGAGCTGGAACCAACATTTAACAATATTTAACAACAGCAACAATCTTTACAGAAGCAGAGTGCCACGTCTTTCTCCTGTGGAGCGGTTGGTGGGTTTGAACCGCTGACCTTTCTGTTAGCAGCAAAGTGTTTAACAGGCTCCCCCTGCCCCATACTTATCTCAAAAATCACATACTCCAAGCTACCCTCATCATACAATCCTGACTAATGTGATTCAAGAACCTTTACACAATTACCCTATAGTTGTTGCTGTTAAGTGCTGTCGAGTTGGCGCCAACTCACAGCGACCCTGTATAGGGTTTCTGAAGAGTGGCTTGTGAGTTTGAACCTCGGACCTTGTAGTTCAAACCGACCTTTCTGTCCAGTGCTTATCCTACAGCACCACACCAGGACTCCAATGGAACTATTAGATGCCTGTTACATGCAGGTTACCATATGGGCTACTTGTAGGGAGCATCTTCTTCCTTTCCCAGTGAAAACCCGACCAAACAAAATACAAACTACAACTATGTATTTCTGAAGTTCTAGTCAGCTCAAAATCTTGGAAGAATTTATCCTCTCTTTCATAGTTTACAGACCTCTAGGCTTTTCTCCTTAAGCACTTGGCTACTACCTGAAAGGCTGGCAGGTCGAATCCATCCAGAAGTGCCTCAAAAGAAAAGCTGGGCAATTTACTTCAGAAAGATCACAGCCATTGCAAACCCTCTGCATCCCAGGTCTTCTGACATACATACATGGGGTCACCATGCGTCAGAACTGACCAAGTGGCAACTGGCTTAGTTTTCATGTTTTTCTCATTCTACTCACAGATTGAGTCTTTCTACACTCCATTTTCCACTTCTGCTGTCTTTCACACCCAATCTGGCTGCTGGGAATTCAGGAACCTTCTCCTTGGCAAAGGCTTGGCATCAAAAAAGTCTGCCTTTCTTTCTCCTTTTTAATCTATTTTCTGATCAACTGTGAAGAAATGTGGGCTTTTATCCCCTTTAATTTGAGTTGAGTGCTAAGGTCTTTCACATTTCATGAAACAGCTCTACACTTTAACTCAGAACGGCACGCGAAGGTCAGAACCTTCCAACTGTTCTACCAAAGATAAGCTCAACTGGCAAACTGGCTCCCCCTCACCGTTCCCCTTCATCCCTTGTGAAATGGCTATTCATTTGCCACAGCTTCTCCCAAATTATCACAGGCTTGGTTTCTAACTCCCACACATGCCTAAGGAAGGCTTCACTGTCAGTAAGTTTAGTAACTTAGAAACCTCTCCCTTAACAATTTTGATGAGGGCAGTCATGTGCTCTCCTCAACTCCCTGCTGGCTTATTTTTAACAGTAAAACTTGAGTATGTGCATGGATTTGCTATACCTTTTGGTACTATATAATTATCCATGTTCAGGGGGTGTCACAGTCAAGACATCCTGGTCATAAGATAACATGACTGCGAGTTATCTCAGAGAAAAACCTCAATTATGACTAATTCCTATAAGCCCACTCATGGCTATTTAAAGACTAACACCTCCTTCAGGTAAAACCGTTACATCAAACCTGCTTTCATAACCCGCTGCCTCCTCCCGAGTGCAAGGACCATCTGTTACATAGAGGGAACACCAACTCTCCCCAGCAGCCATTACATGAGGAGGGGAGGTGGGGGAGACAGGTGGTTGGAGACCTGAGCCAAGGGTACCTTTACATTCACTCCTTGAGCCCCCATCTCTGCCTGCATCCTTTGGTCCAGAAAAGCTTCAGCACACCCATCATATCCTTGCTCTGCTCACTCACCAGCCCAAGACCTGGCCAACTCTCAACCACAAAGTCATCTGATGACACCTAGGCAGAGCCATCATCAAGCTGTCCAGCTGAAAAGGCAAGTGGCTTATTAAACACAATAGCCGCACCCCAAAGGCCTGCTAAGAGCCAGAAAATACACATTGATAACCATTTCCAAGAAGTTGTCATTAAGCCAGCTGCCCAGTCCTCAAGATTAATGGACATAGAGAGAGGGACCAGCTGAAGACTCGAGACTCACGGAAAGAGAGGGGCTGAGTGCTGGTGGCCAGGAGGCAGGCTTGTAGAATGTGCCCTTTGGTTGTTTAAATTATTATATATTCCTAAGTATTTTTGTGTATATCTCCCCACCCCTTTCACCTCACCCACTTCCCTCAAAAAAAGAAAAACAGAGGGAATGGAAGCAAAAACTGTTGGATGATGATACACAGAGGAGATTGTTATCATTGCAATGAATGCAATGAAACGATGGTGTAAAGCTGATGTTCTCCCATGTAAACTATCACTCGTTCACAATAAAAAAAAAAAAAAGGAAAAAAAATAAGCAGCTATGGCAAACTTTTCAGGAGTATGAAAAAAAAAAAAAATAATGGACAGGTCAACTAGAAAGAGGGGAAATTTTAAGAGCCAGGTTCACACAAGAGCTCTGCTATCCAAGGTGCCCACTCCCCACTACT